CATTAGTGTCTGTATTTGCCATTTTGTTTGTCTTTTCTGTGGTTTTAATTTTTTGTATTGTTTTGTTCTTATTCACCCCTTTGTTGTATCCGACTTTAGAACTCCTTGTAGTATTTTTTTGGAGTGGGGGTTTAGTCGTAATGAAATTCTGGAGTTTCTGTTTGTCTGGAAAGGTCCTTATTCTTTCTTCATAGAGGAAGGAAAGCTTTGTGCGATAAAGTATTCTTGGTTGGCATTTGTTGTCTTGGAGTTTGTTAACTATGTCCCTCCACTCTCTCCTTGCCCGTAGTGTTTCTTCAGAGAAATCTGATGTCAGCCCAATTGGTTTTCCTTTGAATGTTACCTGTTTCTTCCCTCTTGTCAACTTTCATTATTTTTTCCTTGTCTTGGATTCTTGGGAGCTTTGCTATTATGTGTCTTACTGCATTTTCCCTTTTATCATGGAAGTTTGTTGTTCTTGCTTCTTGTAAGTCTATGTTCCTTCTTTATGCTTGGGAAGTTCTCTTCGATTATCTCCTTGAATATTTTCTCTGTTCCTATATCTCTCTCCTCTCCTTCTGGGATTCCTATAATTCTTATAGGAATTTCCTTTCCTCATGGAGTCCGATAGTTCCCAAAGTCTTTTTTCATTCTTTTTCCTTTGTATTTCTCTTTCCTCTTCTGTTTTGTTTCTTTTTATTTCTGTGTCTTTGAAAGTACTTATTCATTCTTCCATTTCATCTATCCTGCTTTCACTGCTTTTCCCAGAATTCTTTAGCTCCTCCATTAATCCTTTTATCTCCTGCATTTCTTTCACTTCCCTTTTTAGGGACTCCATTTCATTCTTCTCATCATTGATTATTTTCCCCTTATCATTGTTTTCCTTTATGACTTCTTTCATATTTTTAACCATGGCAATTTTAAATTCTCTATCTGGAAGGCTCAGAAGTTCTTCCAAGTCACTGTTGTTGCAATCTGGTGCTTGATTTTCTTTTTGTGGTGTGTCTTTTCCCTCAGGACTTGCTTGGTTGCTTGTAGTTTTTCTTCTCCCTGCTGCTTGTTTTCTAATTTGTCCTAATCCTTGGGACACTGTGTCGTTGGTACTGGCTGGCATCTCTTTGGTGTGCTCCTTCTGGGATGTCAGAAACTGGTGGCCCAATCATGTCCAATACTGTTATGCCAAAATTCCAGTAGGGCAGTGGTGCTAACGATATGTTGATGGGCGCTGTCCCTGGAAACCCACTCTCTCTGTATTTATTTAATACCAGAGGTAGGTCTTGAGGTCCCTCAGACTGCCCTGGCGGTGGCTGGATCACCCTGGGCACCTAATCGCTAGATGCCCTTCTAAGTTTTGACTCAAGACCAGGCATGGGGCCTGGCTTGTGCATGATTTTTGGCTCATCTCTGACTGTGCAATAGCCCTTTCTCAGTTCCACACAGTTTTGGTGAGGTCCAAACTCAAAGCTCCCAGTCTTAAGGATGGTTTGTCTGGGAGGCACTTCCCTGCTCCCTCAGACTGCCCCATTAGTGGCTGGATCCCCCTTTCGGCCCCTGTACTGGTAGCCAGTCTCAGGACCTGGCTTGTGTAGGTTTTCAGCTCACCTCTGACTGTGGGGACAGTCCTTTCTCAGTTCCACACAATTTTGGTGATGTCCAGAGGCAAAGCTCCATATCTTACATATAGCACTACTGGGAGGCACTTCCCGGTGCCCTTGGTCTGTGATGGTGATGGCTGGATCACCCCCTGGGTTCCCAATCACTGGATCCCCCTCTGGGCTCCAAGTGGCAGCCAGTGGCGGGGCCTGGTTTGTGCAAGATTTCAGCTCACCTCTGACTGTGTGGTCAGCCCTTTCTCAGTTCCACACAGCTTTGGTGAGGTCTGGAGGCAGGGCTCCCTGTCTTAAATATTACATAGTTAATTTTTAACAGTAATTATTATCTTGAGTAAATGCTTTATTTCTGAAAAATAGCAAATACTGAAAGGGAAGGAAAAGATAACCTACACCATTGCTTCATTTCCATCCTTACAAATTTGCCTTTTTCTGAATATCAGTAAATAAAATCATACAGTATGTACCTTTTGTAGTTCTTCATTTAGCAAAAATGGATTTAAGGTTCATCTATATTCTTAAGTGACTGAAGAGCTGTTCCTTTTTCCTGTGAGTGTATTTCATCATCATGATTTATGAGACACAGTTGTCTGTTGAGATTTATCCAACTGATTTCCAATTTGGGGAAATTATGACTAAGTTTTTAAATGCATTTTAATATAGGCTTTATTTGAATATATGTTTAATTCCTTGGGTAAATACAGTGGGTATTCCTTGGGTAAAAAGCAGTGCAGTGGTTAAGTTGTATAGTAAATATGCATTTGTCTTATGAGAAACTGCCAAACTCTTTTCCAAAATGATTGCACTATCTGTTATTCCTTTTAGCAACACATGAGTGTTCCTTGTGCTCTATATCATTGTATATGGTATTTTTCAGGCTTTTTTTCCTTTTGGTGGTTATTATAAAAAGGTGTGTAATTGCATCCCATTGCGATTTATGTGGCAGATTGTTAGTTCATTCATGTACTGTTCTGATTTTTCCTGTGTAACTACTATCCACATTGTCTATATCTCTTTTAAAGGACATTCTAAACAGTCCTTCAGGTATGGAACTCTCTAGTATGCACCAGTTGATAATCTCTTTTTAGTTTAGGAATATGTATTCAAATGTAAAATTCCAAGATTACTTGTCTTTTTTAGTGGCCACCTTTCAATATTTTTATATTGAATTCCCTATTCAATTAAAGAAGCATAATTTTATTATCAAATGGCCACCATTATTTGTACTTGCACATATTCAAGAAGCTTTATTCATTGGCACATGAAGTCCTAAACTATGCTAAATAGTGAATGTGCCAACTTTCCTTAGGAGAGAACAACAGTTAATGAACATATTCCCAGGATTGTATTTGCACAGTTATTTTTAAACAGTAATCATTATGTTGAGTTAATGCTTTATTTCTTAAAAATATGCATTATTGTAGTGCAATATATTTGCATTTCATCAGTTTGTACTACATTTCCCATGCTGTGCTTCAAAAAAGTTTCCGATATTGATAGACATAATCATAATTTAGAGTTTATTATTGATTATAATTGTCATGTAAGTATATGTCTACTGCATTTTGTTTTCATATTTATTTTCTGATTTGGATAGGATTTTTTTTGTATTTTTACCTATAACTGATATGTAAATATTGATAGATGTTAATAGCATTTCCCACAATGGCTTTTTTCAATGCTAGGGAGACTTTATGTACGACCATGTAAGATTTGGATTTAGAATATTTTCAAGGGTGAGTGTTAGCAATTAGCTGGCATTCTCACTCCAATTTTCCTACTCTTTCTATTACATGTAGTTCTTAATTCTAGCAGAAGCACCTGGGGCAAGTTTCTAGAATACTGATTCTACACCAAACATAAGCAGACCTGAAAGTTAGTGTTTTTAAGGGTGGATATGAAATTCTTCATTGCAGACCCATTTTTCCTGTTGATTCTGATGCAAAGAACCTAACATTGATTCATAGAATAGATTTAGAACCACTCATCATGAGGTTTCCCAAGTGAATTTATGATACTCAATAACCTAGTCCATAGATTATTATAGTGATCTATTCTAAATAAATTCTAAAAAAGATTTTCATCCTTTATTTAGGTATCAAAATCTTTTAACACAGCTTTTTTGCCAGTTCCTGATATGTAGAACATAGTCTTTATTGACTAACTATTTTTTGTTTATTCTCAGGCAAATCACTCTTCTTTTGTCCATGATTTCTCACCTCTAATGTGTTTAGAAAGCAGTCTATGGGGCCCCTTCACCTCCACTATTCCATTATCTATATGTCTTTGATTCTGGGCTTTAGCCATAAAATTAGTTTTCACTTCATGAAGAAATAATTTGTGAAGAAACAAAGATGAAAATGTATATATAAATATTGTGTAGTATTGTAATCTATACAATACATATATTGGGAAATGTACATAGTCATAGGATGTCTAGAGATTATCAAATTTGTGTACCTTTAAAAATTGCTAGAGAGATAATAGTGCTAATGGTCAAGAACACAGACTTGGGAGGCAAAATGATTGGGTTAAATTATTCATTTATTACCTGAAAGTCAGTTCAGTTCTTTGTGTCTCAATTCCTTCACCTATAAAATTAAGATGTATTAGAACTTATTTAATATACTTATTAAAATATAATGTACCCAAATTAGTTACAAAAGAGCCTGGTACAATTTAAGTTTTGTGTCCATGTTATCTATTAATATAATTAAGAATGTTCTTACTTTAGATGAAAATTATATGAACTTGCATAGTCTATAGGGCTATATGGGTATTATGTTCTTGGTTAAAAATTAAAATGACCCCCTCATAAATAATCTGGAAATATACTCTGTAACCAAATGCACATTCCTGACCTCTGAAAATTTTTGGGCTTTATTTCCTTTTATATGAGATAGGCCACATTAAATGCCATTGTTAATTGAGTGATAGATGTCACAGCCAGAACATCTTGCATTCTTATTGTGGGAACCTGTATTCTAATCCTGCTGACTTGGTGAAAGTTCAGAAAATTTCTGCAGGTTGCCTTAGAACTCATAAATTCATAATGCTAAGACTGTGAAATATAACACCCATTCATGAATTAGTTTTTAAATAATATATGTCAGGTACTCCATGTGGTTTGTGTGAAAACACTGACATTACTTTGATTTTTATTTTAAACAAAAAGCAGTAGGTTATGCAATTGAAAAGTCTTATGTGGTATTAACCTGATTTGGAGTATTAGTTTAGTATGTTAAGATTCTCTTATAAGATCATATTTTTCTTTGTAAACCAAAGGCAAATCTATAGTTTCATCATTAATTTTGTAGGCTCACTAATTTGTGAAATAAATCAAGATTGTGTGTGTAAAATGTACAGATAAAGCATTTTAACATCTTTAATTATTTTTTTCATACATTTTAGAACTTCACCAGAACAGCTTCGGAATATGCTACCAGACACCTTCTTAACTCCATGTAAAGCCATTAGTGAGATACAGTGTTCTCAGAATGAAAATGATGAACATAGTGATGGTTAGTTGTCTTCATTAGATACTTTTAAATTTATTATTTCAAATGATATGCACTAAATATTAATAAACATCTGCTTTAAGGTTTCTTAGCAACATCATTCTCAACTGTGGACTATGTACTAGCTTATCTCCAAGTTATAATCCTGAAGAGTCTTCTTAAACATTACCTAGATTTACTTTACATTAATTTAAAGTTTCACCTAAAAACTGAATATTTTAAAAAATAGTCTAAATAGAAATATTCTAAATAGAAAATGTGTATTTCACTTGAACTTTGAACAATGGCAATATTTATGTCATGGAATGGAATGCATAGAAAATAAAATTATTTGTTGGTTATGTTATTTGAAGATGGAAAGTTCTTAGGTAAGGTAGATTCTTGATATTATTTATTAATCTATTTCCTAGTTGAAGAGATCAGAGTGCAACACCAATCTCTTTTTCTGCCTCCAGAAGAATTAAAAATAGAGAGATCTGAACCAACTCTAAAAATAGTAGAGCTGCATGATGTAAGTGCCTAATGATCACTCATATTACTCAGCAGTCAGGAAATTAATAACATATAGTTGCAACTACATATTACTTTCAGCAGGGTTTTTTCATAATTTCATGCTTAATTTAGGTTCAGTAGGAGACTTTAGTGTTTTAATTTTAGTGTATGGATAGACTTAAACTATTATTCTTTAATGTAGAGTAGATTTGTGAGCAGAATTACTATTATGTTATTTTATTTAGAGGCATTGAAGATGAGAAGACATTTCATTCTTTCAGCTTATAGAAATGTAGTTTGTTTCACTTAATCTTTGTGTTAGCAGGTTTTTAAACAAATTCTAGTCTTGTATTTAATAAAATTTGTATACGGTAAGGTCTTTGGATGTCACTTAATTTCTATTTAAAGAATATCATTGAAATTAAAGGGTTTTAGTAAAATAATAACTTGAATATGAAGCTCTAAAAGACAAGTAAAACAGCTAGAGCTAGAGCCAATATGTTTAATAAAGTTGTGACAAACTCAGTATATTTCTGACTTTCTAGCAATTTAATTTCTGAACATATCACTTATCATTGATCTTACTGTGATTAACACAGAAATATAATAGAATGGAGAAAATAACACTTTAAATGCTGCACTCTTCTTAAGGTCAGCAACATCTGCTTTTTGTATGTACATATGTGTGTGTTCTTCATGAAAACGTCAATGCATAGAGGATGCTTATGATATTTTGACCAAAGAATTAAAAATACCTTAGTCACCAGTATTTTGCCACTTAATAGTTGCATAATAGGACATAAGTTGTTATTGTTGGTTCTGGGTGTCAGAGTAGTGAAAAAGTAACTAATAACAGCAAATGCCATGAACAAATGCATTTTTGAATTTACATTTCCTATAACTCTTGTTCTAGAGTGTGTATTTAAAGAATTCATTATTTGTTGAAAGTAAATTCACTTAATATTCATACACGTTAGTTGGTTAATATATAATTTTATTGAACATTAATATTATACAACATACATTTATTTAATAAGACTTATGAAGAAGAAATTGAAGAAGCCAGAAACATCGTGCCTTACAAAGTTGAATTACCTGTTGCAGATAGTCAACAAAGGTAAGCTTTTTGCAATTCCCTTTTGATGCTTATGGAACCACAAAAAAAAAAAAAAAGCAAAAAAACCCCACAAAAACAAACAAACAAAATTCACATAGCCAAAGCTCTTCTGACTAAAAAGAATGAATGTATCACACGCTCAACCTTCAAACAATACTACAAAGCCATAATAATTAAAACAGAGTGGCAGTGGACTAACACAAAAACACAGAACAATGGAATCAAAATGAAAACCCAGAAATAAAACCACATATATATGGTTGACTAATCTATGACAAATGAGCAAAGAATATGCAATGAAATAAGAATAGTCTTTTCAAAAAAATGGTGCTGGGAAAACTGGACTGCTACTTGCAAAAGATTGAAACTAGACTACTACCTCACACCACACACAAAACCAACTTAAAATGGATGAAAGACCTAAATAAAAGGCCTGAAACCATAAAATAAATGGAAAGAAACATAGACAAAATAATTCATGACATGCACTTACAAACATCTTTGAGGACTCATCTCTAGAAGAAAATAAAATGGATGAAGAGATAAACAGCTGGGACTACATCAAACAAAAAAAAAAAAAGCTTCTGGATAGGAAAAGAAACAATAACCAAAACGAAGAGATACCCTACTGATTGGGAGAAAATATTTGCACACCATGTAATTGACAAAGGACTGATTTCAAAGAGCTACAAAGAGCTTGCATGACTCAACAAAACTAAAGCAAACCATCAAAAAATGGTGAGAATAGCTAAAAAGACATGCAAATGACCAACAAGAATATTGAAAAATGCTCACCATCACTTATAATCATGGAAATGCATATTAAAACTTCAATGAGATACCACATCACTCCAGTGAGAATGACTCATATTAAAATAACTGATAACAACAAATGCTATGGCAATAAATTAACCCTCCTACATGGCTGGTAGGAATGCAAACTGATGCCACCATTATGGAAAGCTGTGTGGAGGACACTCAAATTACTAAAAATGGAGTTACCAGATGATCTAGCAATTCCACTCCTAGGAATCTACCCAAAGGACACCAAAAAACATTAATTTGAAAGGAAACCGGCACACCTATATTTATTACAGTACTATTTATAATAGCTAAGATAGAAACAACTTAAATGCCCCAAAACTGATTGCTGCATCAAACTATGTGGTATAACTTTACAATTGAATATGTAATCTGCAATCAAAATTCAAACTCATGCCATTTGCTGCAACTTGGATCTAGTCAGAAGGGATTGTGCTGATTGCCATAAGTCAGAATGAAAAAGAAAAAATACTGGATTGTTCCACTTACAAGTGGAATACAGGAAAACTGAACAAAAGTTCATAGGGAAAAAAAAGACAAAACTGGCAGGTACATTATAGATCAGAGACATCCATCAGAGAAAGGGGAGGGAGGAGGTCAAAGTAGGGGAATAAAGAGCACAGCGGACTATGGTGACTGTTCATGGGGGAGGTGGTGATGGGAGATTTATGGGGATTACACCTGAAGGGAGAAATAAAATACCATACAAAAATGAACAATGATGTAAGAAAATAAAATAATAATAATAATAAATAGAAATATGAAAAAATAAAAACCTACCAAAAAGTAAACTACTTTAAGTGAGAAATTTATGATGTAAAAAATATGTACCTTTAACATTATAATTTTTTTTTTTTTAATAGAGGCATGTTTTATTTATTTATTTCTTTGTTTGTTTTGTTTATACATGCACTGGGTACAGTCAGAAGTGCGGGAGGGTGAGAGAATTCACCAGAGCCAGAGCGGGGAGCAGAATAGGCAGAAGGACCAAAGTACACTGCTGAGGGGAGCAGCGGGCGGCAGGAGAGGTCTGCGCGCCATGCGGGACCCTCCTCTGGTGGCCTGGAAGCAGCCGGGGATCGAACCTGCAGCGCAGAGGCAGCAGGCAGCTTCGCAACCCAGCGCTCAACCGCTGCGCCACCTGGGAGGCCCTAACATTATAATTTACTTAAGGGGTATTTATTTATTTTTAAATATTTATTTATTTATGCATAGGAAAACTGGCCAGTGGTGCAGTGGGGCTGGGTGAGAGGATTCACCAGAGACAGAGTGGGGAGCAGAACAGGTGGATTTATTAAAATACATTGCTTAGGCCCTGAAGAAGAAAGTTGCCATGAAAGAGGACTAGAAGGGAGGAAAGGTCAGAACCTGGCTACCCTCCCCCACCCACAAAGTTGGCACTTTCCGACCAATAAAAAGGAGGAAAACAAACAAACAAAAACAACCAATAAGAACAAACTACACATCAAGAGGGTCTGTGAGTGGAAAGGAACTATTTCAGGCACAGCACCCTGTGAACTGGAACTTTGGAGAACCAGGCAAGAATCACCAAGGAGATGAGCGAACAGCTCCATGCTCCATTAGAGGAAGATAAGGACTCCTTGGAGACCTACAAATAGCCCAAGGCCAGCTGGTAAGCTTGTGTGGAAAAGCTGCACGCTCAAAAAGCATACCCAGCTTGAGGATTGCGGCTGCCCAGATCCCCACGCCTGCAACCTAGGCTTGCGGGGAGATGCACAGGAACCCTTATTGAGATGAATGTCCCTCACTGAGTAATCAGAAACCAGGCACCCGGACATGGCAGCGGGGTGCAAAAGGCTCCATTTCTGCAGACACTTAATTGGGGCTACAGCCCATTTCCTGGATCTGAGGACTTCAGAACTGAGACCCAGGACATGAAATTTGGGGTGTGGGATCCCCACGATGTTGGGGCGCAGGGCAGACACAGCATCCCCATGCCGTTGAGGCCCTCCCTGCCACTCCCACTCTGTTCCCCTGGAACCACGGGTAAAAACAGTTTTGGAAGGACACTAAGAAAGATGTCTGGTGCCACCTTAGTGACCAGAAAAAAAATCACCAACAACTTGATAGTTGGGAACCAGGGATCCTCAAAACACCCTCATGCTCTGAGATATAGTGGGCCGTTCAAATGGGGGTAAGGAGGGAAATAAGGCATGGAGCAAGACCCTATGCTGGAAATGAGCGCCAGGCTCAGAATCCGGGGTGTGGGACACGCCAGAGCAGTGGGCACTGCACAGGCTGACAGCCAGTGTTTTGGATCTGATAGCCCTGGAACTGAGACCTAGAGTGCAGAAGTCAGGGCACAGGATCCATACAGCTGCAGGCACAGCACTCGGGTAAACATGGAGCTGACACAACACCCAGCTTCAATAACAGCCCCTGTGTTGAGGTGCTCCCCTCCGCCCTACCCCCTTAGTTTCTCAGAGAGCCACTGGAAAAAAAGCACAGGTCAGCAAGTATAGGTCTCTGGCGCCACCTCGTGACCAGAACAAAATAGCCAACTAGCTGTTGGAACTGAGTAAATACAGAGAGATTGAACTATAAGGGACAATGCCCAGCAACACAGCATTAAAACCCTGGTGGAGTTTTGGCCTACCAGTGCTGGTCTCAGTCTGGTAAACAGTGTCTGACACCCCTAAAGGAGCAATCCAAAGAGATGCCTGCCAACACCAGTGGCACAAAGTCCCAATGCATAGAACTAATTAGAAAGTCTAATTAGAAAGCAAACAACAAGGAGAAGAAAAAATATAAATAACCAAGCAATTCTGCAGGAGAACACACCACAAAAATAAATATGGACACCACAACTCAACAATGACATGGAAGAACTTCTTGACCTATCAGATAAAGAATTAATGATCATCATGATTAAAAAGCAGAAAGAAAAGGAAAAGGAAAAAAATGATTTGAGACAAATAATCACTGAACTGAAGAATGAAATTGAGACCTTAAGAAAGGAAAGAAAATAAATGCAGAAGATTAAAAGATTACTAGAGGAGGTAACTCCGGGAAAAGCAATGAAAACAGAATCGATGAAATGGAAGAACGGATCAGTACTATCAAAGATACAGAAATAAAAAGAGCCAAAAGAGAAAAGGAGAGAGAAGTGCAAATGACGCAGTGTGAGGATACTATTAGACAATTATCAGACTCCATGAAGAGAGGAAATGTAAGAGTTATAGGCATTCCAGAAGGTGAGGAGAAAGACAAAGGAACTGAGAAATTATTCAAGGAAATAATTGAATAAAACTTCCCAAGCATGAAAAAGTAGAGGGATATAGACATACAAGAAGCAAGAAGAACTCCCAATTACCACAATGAAAAGAAAACTACAGCAAGTCACTTAATAGAGTCCAAGACAAGGAAAAAATAATGAAACTGGCAAGGGGAAGAAACAGATAACTTATAAGGGAAAACCAATCAGGTTAATGTCAGACTTCTCTGAAGAAACATTACGGGCAAGAAGAGAATGGAGTAACATATTCAGCAAACTTCAACACAGCAAATGCCAACCAAGAATACTTTACCCTGCAAAGTTCTCCTTCCTCTACGAAGAAAAAATATGGACCTTCCCAGACAAACAGAAACTCCAGAAATTCATTACAACTAAACCCCCACTCCAAAAAATTCTACAAGAAGTCCTAAAGCCAAAACCAACAGAAAAATGAACAAGAAGAACAGAATAAAGCAAGGAATAAAATCACAAAAAAGACAAACAAAATGGCAAACACAGATGCCAACATATCAATATTAACTCTAAATGTAAATGGATTAAACTCATCAATAAAAAGACACACAGTAGCAGGCTGGATTAAAAAACAAAATCCAACCTTCTGCTTTCTCCAAGAAAAACATTTACCCAGAAAAGATATGCATAGATTGAAAGTAAAAGGTTGAAAAACAATCCTACAAGCAAATGGGCCAAATAAGAAGGCAGGAACAGCCATACTTCTATCAGATGAAATAGACTTCAAGTTAAAAAAGGTAAAAAGAGACATAGATGGACACTACATTATGATCAAGGGGACAATTAATCAGGAAGATATAACACTCATCAACATATACTCACCAAATGAAGGGACACCAAAATATATTAGAAATTATTATCAGCTCTGAAAACAGACATTAAAGAAAATACATATATAGTGGGAGACTTC